GAGTGTGGTGTAGAAGAATGTGACTGGCCTGCACTGAGTCCTGACCTCAGCCTGATAAAACACCTTTGGAATGAATTAGAGCAGAGACTGTGAGCTAGGCCTTCCCGCTACTTCCTTGCCACAAAGGCACAGGGACGCCCCAGGCAGGATAAACCCTATTGCTGTGAGGTGATAGCACTGCATCACCGTGTTGCCTCCAATAAAGTTAATTTTAAAAATTGTAACAATTCAACATTGAATTTAATTTCCAAGTCATCTGGGTTTGATGTTAAAACCTGAATAACGCAGGTTTATTTTTGCACTTTGTATAATTTTAAAAACAAAACAAAAGAATGTGCTCAGCACTGTTGTTGTACTGTAATGTAAAATGATTTTTCTGTGTGCATTTGTTCAATTAATTGTATGACCATGTTTGTATGTGTTTTCGACCTGCACAAGGTGATGCCACAAGGTGGTGCACTTGTGGTACTTTGAGTTTATTTATATTAAATGTATGGGGGGAAACATCTTACAGCTATGCGTGTGTTAAGCTATACTTGTCTGTAATTTGCATGTCACAATTAATAAATTTTTCAATTTAAACACATAAAATAATTATTGTAGACCATCTTTAAGTTTAGAAGACTGATAACAAATCATATTGTGCATGTAATGTCACATGATCTACTTTGCTTATAGGGCTATGTAGAAGGTGTGTCTATGAATGAGCTTTGAATCATGAGGAGTCAGAAACACCAGTAGTTTAGTAGTAGTTAAGTCATAGAGAGGAAGCAGGTTAATTTTTCAGCTTTTTCTGTGATATAATTACATTATATACAGTCAGTTACATTTCTGACAACAAGAAACAGCAACAAAAGATGTTGGAAAATACATTAGTGGAATATATGGATACATCTGACACCCCTTGGTGCTGGTATTACCTCGCCGACTGTGGACAGTGGCACCAGTTTGAGGTAATTTGTGTATTTCTTTAGATCACATTATCTGGTTCCATACTGTCAAGTAAAGCTTATGTTTCTAGTTTCTTGTCCCTTTTCTGTAGGATGACCCCGATCTCCCCTTTAGCAGTGAGGCTGTTGAAAACTTTTACCTGAAAAACTCCAAGGCTGTTTTAAACACATCATCTTTCAGTTACAAGGGCCAGATTGATTTCTCTGGTAATTTTTGTGCATTTTCATGCTCACAGTCTTCATTCACACATTAAGAACTTGGCTCAGATTAATACATGTGTTTTTGTGCAGCGATGCTACTGACAGACCTCACCACAGGGAGGCAAAAAAGAATCAGGAGAAGCTACAACACAGAAAAAAGGTAAACAAGAAATGTATATTCTCAGTTGTAACAGCAGTGAGGTTTACAAGTTAGTGTCAGTATAGTTTCTATCAAAATGAAAGTGAAAGTTTCAGCACAATGGAAACTTAACTCTCCTCCGGCAGGTGTTCCTGTTTCAGCCTTGCTCCTGTTTTCTGGGAATCGTTTGATCCCGAACGTCCATATCAGGTGACAAAAATGTTGCTTAATGTCCAAAATCCATACAGCTAGAGCACAAATATACAATACAGTTAGAAGCCTAGATTAAAACTGCAGATATTTCAGCAATAACTGATTTCTGATACTTTTTAAAGTTAATCCCTCTGAGTGAGCACTCCCCCGAGTATCAGACAGTGGACCGATATGTAAAGACCGATGGGCTGTTGGACAGAACCATTCTGTCAATCAACAGGATACAGAATTTGGATCTTTGGGAATTATATTGCAGGTAAATTAAGTTTTACAATATGTCTTTTGTGAATAATTTCCATTCTTTGTTACTATTTTTTTTTTTATATTTGCATCAAAGGAAAAAGAAACAGCTGATGAGGATTCAAGGCATCAAAGAAATTCAAGAGAGACGACTCTTTCATGGGACTGATATCAAAAATGTGGATTACATTTGCAAGTATAACTTTGATGTACGGTTAGCTGGACAACATCATGGCCACGTATTTGGCAAAGGTAAGTTCATTGTTTTGATAAAGGTGCAAATCTGAATTTCTAACTCTTTACCATTTCTTCTGTCTCTTTTCTTCTCAGCTGATCTAAGTTTCTTTTTTTACGTAGGAATTTATTTTGCCAAACATGCAGCATTAGCCGGCAAATACAGTAAGAGCAGCTTGGAACCACTGCCAGTTTATGGTGGGAAAACACAACTTGTACACTCTGGAGAAACTAAAATTATATTTTTGGCTCGGGTGATGACTGGAAAACCAGTTGCTGGAGAATCTGATTTCCAAAAACCCGATCATCGGAATCCCGAAAACCTGCATGACAGCTGTGTTGATGTTGTCTCTCATCCTAAAATTTTTGTCATTTTTGATCCAAATCAAATATATCCGGAGTATGTGATTCAGTACAGCTGAGCGCAACATGTGCAAAATCAACATGGCTACCTCAAACAGTACATTTCAAGCACAACTCCTGATGGCTTCAATGAAGTTTTTGCAGCATTTTGAATAAATTTTTAACATTTTTTGACAAATTTGTAATAAACTAGGTCGTTTTCAGCAAGATAATCTGTCAGCAAAGTTATCGTTACATTTCATTACTTTGGATCAGAAGTACCAATAAAAATGAGTTTATTTATCAGATGCTACTGCTTAGTATTAGAATAGTTGAATATAATACTTGTGGTCATGTAATGTAGATTCCCATCTAATTTATTTCTATTTAATTTAGTAATAATATAGCTTCATAAATAAATAAATACGTCAGCAGAACCAAATCAAAGTCTGCATGTGTGTTTATTCCTGTTCTAATGTTTATGTTTGTATTTGTGTTGGACATAACATTCGCAAGCATTTTAAAATAACATGTGCGAGGTTAAGGAAATTAAATTCTAAGCTCATGTAGCTTATTGTTGTTTATCTGTTTTACATATATGTGGACAAAAAGCTTCCACATCCTTCACAGAGCCCGTGAAGGATGTGGAAAAACAATGTATGATTCAGTTACTTTAGAAGCACCTTCATCAGCAATAACCTGAAATAATAATTTTCAGTCTTTCACATAAGAAATTGAAATTGTGAAGAGATTTTGACCTACTCTTCTTTACAGAGTTGCTTCACTTTTAAGGTTTGTGGGCAGTTATTTATGTTCAGCTCTCTTACGGTCACGACACAGTATTTCATTCACGTTGAGTTCTGGTCTTTGACTAGACTACTGGAAAACCTTTGCTTTTTTTAGCCAGTCTGTTGTAGATTTGGCTTGGCTTGGGATTATAGCGTTGTACTTACCCAATTTTGGCCAGGTTTTAGTTGGCGGACAGATGGCCTCACATTTCACTCTAGTACACTTTGGTATACAGACTGCACACCAAAGGCTGACTGCAAGGCTCCCATATACTGTAGCCCAAATCATCACCCCTCCCCCTCCATCCTTAACAGTTAGTATGAGGTGTTTGTATTGATATGTTTTCACCAATCTCACCCTCATGTTGTTGGGATAGACTCCAACCCCCCTGTAGCCCTGAATTGGATAAACTGAAGTGGATGGATGGATGGGTATTTTCAACAAATATTGCTGTGCAATATTGCTAAACATCTCCATTTCTGTCTAATCTGTTCAAAGGACTTTGTTACAGAGGTCGTGTGGCTTGTTCAGAAACAACTCCAAACAAACCATACTGTTCAGTCTTTTTCTAAATGTACTGTCATGTAATTATACAAAAAATGTCTCATTCTAGGAGCTTTTTTATTTTACGACATCGGAAAAGTTAATCAACTATTGAGATTTTTAATATTTCCATGCTATAAACACAGTAACCTATACACAGATATTCATTTTGTGAGATTTTGCCAGCTGCGCATGTTGAGAACCAAACCTGCACAATCAATAAATATCAGCGAGAACATCTGTGCCCATCTGCCCCAGCAATAAAACAGCATTAAGCACAAAATCTTCCTTATGTGAAAGAACTCATTACATGTGCTATAATATTTCTAAATTGGTACAGTTAAGGCTACGAAACACGTGTTCATTATATAAGTTTCTGTTTCACAACGAAACAGAAACTTCACTTGAAAACCTGTTTCACAGCTATATGCTGTATATTTTTTATAACCATACATGTCACAACAGGCATTTTCCATTCACACCCAAAGCAAATACTCCCCCATGCCAACAAGAAGTCTCAATGAAATAAAATATAAACAGTCATGCCCCCACTCACTACACACACCCCTTTGTTAAACACGTGCTTAAAATGATTAGCTGTAGTTTACCTAAACTGTCAGGAGAGGTTGCTGTTGATACAGTTTTCATTCATTCTTGGCACAGGTCAGCATCAGTTGGTCTGCATTAGATGTATCAGTTTGTCTTGGCAATTTATTTTTACTATTATAAGTGGAAAGAACATTAACTGAATTACCAGATTTAGATTTACAGTTTTATGGTACTTAACTTTTCATTTTATGCAACTTTATCCTCCCGTTCCACTGCATTTATTTGCAAAATTGGGCTACTAGTTAGTTTGGAGGATTTTTTGATGTAATTTAGACCTTTGGTTTCCAACATTTCTGACTTGTGCCCCTTTAAAGGTCTGACATATCTGCGAGTTTCTAATAGCCACACAAAAGAGGTTACTAGAAAGAGATATTAT